AATTTAAGATGGGGCGGGGCCTTTGCAACATTTTCCTTACCAGCCCCACCTGTTACCTTCAGGAGAAGGTGTAGTATCAGTTGAAGTGTCAGCTCGCAGTATTGCTTTCATATTCACTAGTGTGTTTACTTAAAAAATAATTTTTACTTATTAGTTTTCAAAATGATTAATTGAAGTCCTTAGTATTTGCACATCTTCTCCCACATACACAGAATGTAGAGTGTTTACTAAGAAATGTTACACCTCTTCTCCCTGTGTAACAGATACGAAGAAAAGAATTACGTGAATACTCAAGCACTATGTGTGCATTGAGGCCTGGACGGACTGCACTTCTGTAATTTCTCCGTTAGAAGGAGCAAAACTGAGTGGCAGCCACCTCCAAAGTTGGCTTCTCCCTTTTATTGTAAAGACAAGGAAGTTTTACAAGAAAATTCAGTTGATTTAACCATTACAAAGACAAGGATATTATCAGAATTATGGCTGACAAATGGAGAGCTAGTAACATCATTGAACTAAGCAAAGTGACATTCCATAATGCAATTTGCAAAAGGTTAAGTCGATCCACCAACAAAAGCTTGATCTTAGCAAACATTCTCTTTCCCTACAGCAGTTTTCCAGTATCTTTACATATCAGTAGCTTGTCTGTCCTTGAGCCAGCAACCTTGCTGTGCTACAATTCTTTATCTTACAACAGAGACTTTAGCCCTGGGAAAATTTCCTGTCTTTTGCAAGGTTAACATTTCTATATACTTTTAAGAAGTTAGGCTAAACCTGAAACTGCAGGGCTTTGGAGGCCCTGTGAAATACATTTGCTTTATAAATATTACTATATTCCACAAAGAAACCCACTGCCACATTTAGGAGCGATTAGATTTAAAAGAAAGGGTAATCTTAATCCTGTCTGTCTCTGTTCCAGTGCCTTCTCTCCCCACAACAGGTAGATAAAAGTTCTTTAATGTTAGTCTGGGGCTTCAGGTGAGATGCTGCTTATGAGAGGAAATATTTTAGATATTTGGTTCCTATTTCTTGACACTGATGTTTTTGAAAAGAAAATTAAAGATTAATTCCCACTTGGATGTGTGGAGAGGGACATAGTTAGAGGAGTGTGTCTAGTGTGCGGAGCTGGTCTTGTAGCCTCTTTTCTTCTTTTACCTTAGGTCCTTAGCCTTTGCTGGTTTCTTGGTTGCAGGTTAGCCATGGTGGTAAGTTAGCTATTCTTCCTTGGTGAAGGAGTAAGCATCCCCAGGAAGGCATCTGAGTAAGGGTTTGCCAAGCTTGGTTTCCGTAGGTACATCAGGCTGCCGTTCTTTATGATTGTCTCTGATTGGAGATTGCTGATGATCTCGTTGAGATTGGAACTTCTTGAAGGGCCTCTATTCATCTTCCTGCTTGCCTACCTTTGGGATTTGGTAGGGTCCTTAAATAGCTTTCATGCAGTGTCTGGCAACTTTATGACACTGTATCTAGATAACGAAACTTGGTAAATTATATGAGAATGTATGGGAAGTATTCAAGCTTTGTCTTGAGGTTGTGAGGATAGGCTTATTAAAATTCTGCTTTTCTGGAGAAAGTATTTTTTTCCTGAAGAAAATGAGAGAAAGGTTGTAAGATTCAGTTTTATAGGGAGATAGCACCTGCGTTATGGCTGTTTTAAAATACTGCTAAAAGAAATAATAAGTCTT